TTTGTGCAGGCCCGACATCATGATTTTAGACGCTCCATGGAGCGCGGGTGCTTGAATAAGGTACCATCTCGGACAGACTGCGTGGCTGGCAGAACACGGGTCAGCACTAGTCATCATCTCTACAACACTGGAGCACATGCGTGCGAGAAGGGTCTGGGTACCGAGTGAGGGTATGAGCTCGGGGGCGCACCCGGAGGGCCTTGGAGTGCGTCCGGAAAGGTTCCCGAGAGCCCCAGATGGCCCCAAGACGGCCCAAAGCGGCCCCAGGACGGCCTCAAACCTGCTCCAGATGACCCGAACGGCGCCCCAGGACGGCCCGAGAGTGCCCGAAGACAGGCAAAGAGAGAGTGCAGGAGGACCCCGACGACGGTCCGACAAGGCCAAAATCATTGTTTTTCCAATCGGTTTTAGAAGGATTTCGACGTTCTCGCCTTTTCAGGTTTCCGATGCTCCAAGACGGTCCAAGCGGCCCCCAATATCGCCCCAAGACGGCCCAAAAGCTCCCCAAGACGGCCCATAACCCAAGAGGGACCCAATATGGGGAATTGGAACTGGCATTTCGCACCCTCCGCTCCAAGATGACCCCCGAGACCGCCAGCAGGCTCCCAAGAGGCCCCCCATATGCCCCAGGAGGCCGCCAAGATGCCCAAATCAGGCCCCGAGAGGCCCCAAAGAGGGCCCCGAGAAGCCCCAAGACACCCCCGACGCCGCCTCCAAGGGGCTTCCGAGGGAGCATTTCTGGGAGAGCTCTGGGGCCGTGCTGGCCACCCAAGGGAGCCCTACGGGCGGCCCAAGAGGAGACCCGATGGTCGGCCACGCGCGCGCAGAGGCCACTGAGGCATGCGTGTGTTGGCCTCCCCGCGCTCTCCTCGCCCTTCGCCTCCCTCGCCTCGCTCCTGGCTTCTCTCTTCTCGCTTCTCCTCGCGCCTTCCACCTCGCTCCTGGCCCCCATCGCTTCTCTTCCTTGGCTGCTGGCGTCTGCCTCCCCCCTCTCCTCTTCGGCTTTGCCTCTGCCCCTCCTCGCCCGTCGTCTCTCTCCTCGGCCGTCGCTCCTCCCTTCTCGCTGAGCGCTTCTCGCTTCCCCCACCTCCCCACCCGTCCCTGACTCCTCACTCCTTGCTCCTCGCTCCTCGCTCCACTTGAGCTGCAGGCTGCATCATCTATCAAGGGTGCCAAGAAGCGGCACCCTGCAGCCCCAAGCAGCAACAGTGAACAACAGCAGTCCGCAGCAGGCAACGGCAGCACAGCAAACGTAAGCAACAGAAACAACATGCCGCAGGCAGTAGCACATTAGCAACCTGCAGCTGCAGGCAGCGACAGCAGAGGCGAGTCATCACGAAAGCCTTTCGGCAACGTCTCTGCCCTGGTCCAACGTGCCATCTCGGACAGATTTCGTGGCCTGTCAGCCCTAGTCAGCTACAACGCTGGCATCAGCGCGTGCGACAAGGGCGAGCAGTGGCAGCGGGCTTTGGCGTTGCTCAGCGAGGTGTGGGAGGCGAAGTTGGAGCCCGACGTCTGCAGCTACAGCGCTGGGATCAGCGCGTGCGGGAAGGGGAAGCAGTGGGAGCAGTCTCTGGCGCTACTTCGCGAAATGCGGGAGGCGAGCTTTGAGCCCGACAACATCAGCTTCTGCGCTGCGATCAGTGCGTGCGAGAGAGGAAAGCAGTGGCAGCGGGCTCTGTCGCTGCTCGGCGAGATTTGGCTGGCGAAACTGACGCCGACCGTCGTCATCATCATCATCATCATCATCATCATCATCATCATCATCATCATCATCATCATCATCATCATCATCATCATCATCATCATCATCATCATCATCATCATCATCATCATCATCATCAGCATCAGCATCAGCATCAGTATCAGCATCAGCATCAGCATCCGCATCACCACCATCGTCATTATCATCATCAGCATCGCCATCATCACCATCATCATCAATCATCATCATCACCAGCATCATCATCATCGTCTCCTCCTCCTCCTCCTCCTCCTCCTCCTGTCCCTCGTCATCGTCATCGTCATCAGCATCATCATCATCATCATCATCATCGTCATCATCATCAACACCACCACCACCAGTATCATCATCATCAGCATCAGCATCGTCATCATTATCATCATCACCCTTATCATCCTCCTCCTCATCATCATCAGCATCATCATCAACATCAACAACATCACAATTCGCACCATCATCATCATCTCCTCCGCCTCCTCGTCCTCCTCCTCGTCTCCCTCGTCATCATCATCACCATCAACATCCTCATCGCCATTATGAACACCACCACCACCATTATCATCATCATCATCATCATCATCATCATCATCATCATCATCATCATCATCATCATCATCATCATCATCATCATCATCATCATCATCATCGTCATCATCATCAGCATCATCAACATTATTATCATCAGCATCGCCATCATCATCATCATCATTACCCCCTCAGCATCATCACCATCACCATCATCAACATCGTCATCATCACCATAATCATCCTCATCCTCATCACCATCATCATCATCATCATCATCATCATCATCGTTACCATCGCCATCGTCATCGTCATCGTCATCGTCATCGTCATCGTCGTCATCATATCACCACCGTCATCATCATCTCCAGCATCATCATCATTATCACCATCATCATCATCATCATCATCATCATCATCATCATCATCATCTCATCTTCACCATCATCATCATCATCATCATCACCATCACCATGACCACCATCATCACCACCACCACCATCATCATCATCATCACTATCGTCATCGTATCATCATTATCACCACCATCATCATCGTCATCACCAACATCACCATCACCATCACCATCACCATCACCATCACCGTCGTCGTCGTCGTCGCCGTCGTCGTCGTCGTCGTTTCATCATCATCATCATCATCATCATCATCATCATTATCATCATTATCATCATCATCATCATCATCATTATCATCATCATCAGCATCAGCATCAGCATTAGCATCATCATCATCATCATCTTCATCATCCTCATCATCCTCATCACCATCATCATCATCAGCATCATCATCATCATCATCATCATCATCATCATCATCATCATCATCATCATCATCATCATCATCATGTGAGCATTCTTTTATTATTTGTTTTTGCTTTCGGCGGAACGCCCCTCCCCCCCCCCTCCCCCCGTAGAGAAGTTCCGGGCTGATTTTGGCACCTGCTTCAATCGATCGGACGAACTACAGGGGCCGGCGCCCCCCCCCCCCTCCCCCGGTAGAAACTCGAATCGCTGATGTGTGCAACTGTGCGCATTTTATCGTGCTACTCTTCTGGAACCACAACGAAAGGGCTCAGGGGCGCCAGACCCGATCGCCAGAAAGCATGCCTCCGGCTGGGCCCTCCCCTGTTATGCCAGCGACGGCCTCGTGGAATCATGAATAGGTGATCCCTAGCAATTCTGGCACAGGCTTGCCAAATCACGCATAGCCTTGGCGCAGCCCCGCGCAGCCGCTGCGCGATTCCCCCATGGGGGGTCTCCCCTAGGATTCCCTCATCGGCATCTCCCACAGGATTCCCCACATGATTCAATCGGAGGCATTGACTACGGGCCGAGAGCCGGACCCCCCCCCCTCCCCCCCATGCGCCTAAAGCCGAAACCCAGAATAAAAAAATGCTCACCATCATCATCATCTCTGGGCCCAGAGCGTGCGAAAAGGGCCTGGAGATCGCTGTGGCCCCAGACGTCACCAGCGGCCCCCGGAGGCCACTCGCGCCGTCCCATGGTCTGAGACGGCTCCGCAATGCCTCGGACTGACTGTCTCCGAAAAGGCTCTGCCATGGCTCCGAACAGGGCCTCCGAGGGGCGGAGATCGTCATACTCGTCTAGGTTTCCGTGCGTTCTCCATGCTCTCTCGACTCTTCGGCTCCGGATGGCTCCGAGAAGGGCCCCCACAGGCCTTTAAGGCGGCCCAGGACGCCCACGAGAGTTCTCCTTGAGGGCCCAGGACGCCCTAGAGATAGCTTCGGCTGGCCCTCCAACCAATGGGCCCGAAGATGGCCCGACGAGTTCCCCCAGAGAAGGCCCCGACAACTATAACGATAGCAAAGATTAGAACGATCACAACGATCGCAACGATAATGATAGCGACAACGATGACGATGACAGTGATAACGACAACAACGATGACGATAGCGATAACGACGAGCATTTCGTCATCGTTATCTCGTGATCGTTGTCGTTATCGTTATCCTTATCGTTATCGTTGTTATCGTTGTGATCGTAATCGTTGTTGGTGTCTTTGTTGACAGCCCACGACGGCGCTGGGATGCGGCTGGTTCGGGTCGTGTCGGCGCGGCAGCGACCCCGTCGTGGGCGTCCCGGGCGAGCTCCGCCAGTGGCCCAGAGCCGGTCAAGGAGGAGGAGGAGGGGAAGGAGGAGGAGGAGGAACAGGCGGAGGAGGAGGAGGAGGAGGAGGAGGAGGAGGAGGAGGAGGAGGAGGAGGAGGAGGAGGAGGAGGCGGAGGCGGAAGCGGAGGCGGAGGAGGAGGAGGAGGAGGAGGAGGAGGAGGAGGAGAGGAGGAGGAGGAGGACGAGGTTAAACGCCGAGTGGCCTGAGGTGGAGGAGGAGGAGAGGAGGAGGAGGAGGAGGAGGAGGAGGAGGACTGGTGGAGGAGGAGGAGGAGGAGGAGGAGGAGGAGGAGGATGAGGAGCAGGAGGAGGCGGAGGAGGAGGGGGAGGAGGGGGATGAGGAAGAGGAGGAGCAGGAGGAGGAGGAGGAGGAGGAGGAGGAGGAGGAGGAGGAGGAGGAGGAGGAGATGGTGGAGGAATGCTTGAGAAGAGACGGCTCCAAGAGACGGGCATCCCGAACGATAGCTCTGTCTGCTGACCGTGGGTGTCATCCACGGGTTCGCGGCAGTCAGCTACAACGCTGGGATCAGCGCGTGCGAGAAGGGTGAGCAGTGGCAGCACGCTCTGTCTCTGCTCGGCGAGATGCGGGAGCTGAATGTGGAGCGCAACATGATCACCTACAGCGCTGGGATCAGCGCCTGCGAGAAAGGCGAGCAGTGGCAGCGGGCTCTGGCGTTGCTCAGCGAGATGTGGGCGGCAGAGCTGAAGCCCAACGTCATGTGCATTACAACTCCAGGGCCAGCGCGTTCAGAGGGAGAGTGAGCGGGAATGCCCTGGGGGCCCTGGACGGGGCTCACACGGCCCAAGCGAGCGGTGGGAGAGCTCCCAGATTGCCCAGTCCAGGCTTCCGGGCATTGCAGACCGCCCAAGAGAGCCTCCTCCTTCTTCTCCTCCTCCTCCTCATCCTCCTCCTCCTGCCACTCCTCCTCCTCCTGCTCCTCCTCCTCCTGCTCCTCATGCATGGAGAGCCCCCCCATGGCACTTCCAGAAGGTCCCCCCTCGGCAGGCCGCCAGAGGCCCGAAGCCATGGTCCGAGAGCACTCGCAGCAGGCCGCGCCAGCAAGCTGCATCACACAGCCAGAATCGGCACCCTGCAGCATCAGACGGCCCAAGGGGCCCTCATCGCGCCCCCTCGATCCCGGCCCCTGGCTCCTCGATCCCCTCCCGGCAGCATGTTGAGGCCCGCAAGCGCGAGAAGCGCGACACGCCGCCCTGCAGCGGCAGCGAACGGCAGCAGCACTCCGCACGAAGCAGGCAGCAGCAGCGGCAGCACACGGCAGCCGCAGCAGCCGGCAGCAGCAGGCAGCGGGCATCAGCACGCACCAAGCAGAATTGGTCATCAGCAGCATCTTGAAGCCACATGCATCAGCAGCCTGCAGCAGCGGCAAGCATTACCACCATAACGCAACAGCGGCGACAATCAGAAGCACGCAGTATGCGTGGAATGGGAGGGTCGATCCCCACGTCATCAGCATGGCCACAACTACATGTCAGTTCGTGCAGATTTTCTGAACATAGTGCACGGGCAGTCCAGGGGTCAGCCCTAGTTTATACTATCTAATGGCCTTCGGCCCATCCCAGCACCGTGTCTGGGTTGTGGGTCTGAAGCTTCTTAGGTGTTCGTTGGGATCTCGTCGAGGCCTCTCGGGGGCCTCCTGGATGCAGTTTTGATGTCTCTGGGGGCTGTTTTGGGGCCTCTTCTCGACCTCTTTTGGGCTCCTTGGGGCTTGTGGGGGCCTCTTGGGGGCCTCTTGGGGCCTCCTGGCGGCTCTTTGGGTCTCCTGGGTGCCTCTTGGGTCGGAAGGGCTCAAGAGGCACCCACTCTTGGGCCCCTCTTGGGGCCCCTCTTGGGCCGTCTTGGTCGCCTCTTGGGCCGTTCGGGAGCCCTCTTGGGCCGTCTTGGGGCCCGCTTGGGTCGTCTTGGGGCCTTCTTGGGGGGCCTCTGGGGCCATCTTGAGGCGGTCTTGGGGGCCTCTTGGGACGTAGAAAACAGATAACCCAAACAATTAGACAAACTAGGGCAATCTAGCATTTTGGCCTCTCGGTGCCCCCTTGGGAAGGCTCTTGGAGGCCTCTTGGAACGTCTTGGGCGTTTTTTTGGGGGGGCCGACTGGAGGCCATCTCGGGCCTCTTGGAGCGATCGTTCGGCGATTCGGGGCCCTGTTGGACTATCTTGGGGGCCTCTTGGGGCCCTCTCGGCCTGGGCCCCGCGACAGGACGCGACAAGCCCCAGGGCACGCTGACCCTGTCGGCGTGTGCACGAGGCTGTTCCGCTTGACTTGTCGTCGTCGTCGTCGTCATCGTCGTCGTCGTGGTCGTTGTCGTCGTCGCCTTCGCCCCAGGTCGACGCGACACCGCAAGAGGCCCAGGAACGACCCCAGCGGCGCCCAAAAAAGCCGCAAAAGAGGCCTCCCAGAGGCCCCAGGCGGGCCGGCAGGAGGCCCCGACCTGTCGGGAGGCGAATGCGTGGCCGCGTGCGGAGCGTGCGCCCCCGCAGGAGCGTCGTGGCGGAGTACCCGGTCTTCGGCCATGGTGGAGGACCAGGGCGCCCCGCTCACAGCCTCCTCCTCCTCCTCCTCCTCCTCCTCCTCCTCCTCCTCCTCCTCCTCCTCCCTCCTCCCTCCTCCCTCCTCCCTCCTCCCTCCTCCCTCCTCCCTCCTCCCTCCTCCCTCCTCCCCGACGGGATGTGGCTCAGGAGCGGCGCCACCCCGCCCAGCGGACCAGCGCTCTCCTGCGGCGGCCTCCTCGTCTCACTGCGAGGCGCACGCACGCAGCCAGAGGCGGGCCTCCAGAGCGGGGAGGCCGTCACGGGAGCGCCCGTCACACAAGGGGTCGGCCGGGCCGCGCCCGAGGCAGAGGGAGCGCATCTCCGCGCCTGCTGGAGCGCTCGCTCCCTTCTCCCACCTCTGGGGAGCTGCCAGAAAAGGGTTCGCCGGACATGGATGCTTTCGGACATTCGGTTCTGCCCGATCTTCGGAAGAACAGACTTCTCGGACGCTGCTCCAACTCTTGTGCCTCCCCACCCCTCAGGAGTTATCATCGAGCACCTGCTCTGCACTTGAACCTGCTGCGCGGGCTTCTTGAAAAACGGTCTCTTCGCGTGGCCCCGACCCCCCTAACTTACCATGGCGCCGTCGGCGTCGGTGTGTAGCCCTCCCCCAGTGTGTATCCCTCCCCCCAGGTATATCCTCCCCCAGTGTGTTCTCCCTTCGCCCGGTGTGTTTCCCCCCCTCACTTTGTGTCCTTCCCCCCAGTGTGTCTCCATCTCCCCACTGTGTGTTTCTCTCTCCTTCCAGTGTGCTTCCTCAGGGTTGTCTGATATTTTCGGTGCCCTCGTGGTTTCTTGGGGCCCTCAGCCTCAGGGAGCACCCCACGAGGCCATAAGAAAGCCCACATAACGGTCCACAGCGCGAGCTTCCCCTCTCTTGGGGCCCTCCTCGGGGCCCCCTTGGGACCATCACGGTCCACTCTTGGAGCCCTCTTGGGGCCCTCTCGGGGCCCTTTCCAGTGCCTTCCCATCCCTCCCGCAGGGCCTTTCGAGGGCTCGCTCATGTGGTCACCGAGCCTCCCTCGCATAGGGTTCCGAAGGCGTCACCCTGCGGGCTCGTAGTCCCTCCCCCCGCCGCGGTGTTTGGTGCAGGCTGTCCCCTAAAAGCGCCTCCGTGGTGTTTCCAGTTGCGGCCCACCAGGCCCGTGTCTCTTGGGGCCTGTCAGACCCCTCGGGCAATCATGTCTGCCTGCGAAGTTTCTTCGTTCCCGCAAGCGGACAGGATGTGGATCTAGTGGGCGCCCACCACATGTGAAGAGTTTCCCTTGGTGAAACCTCGGGGGACCTTTTCTTACATCGTGAAATCGCAGGTGCCCTAGACCATATTATAAGGGCTGTACACAAGAAGTTGTCCATATCCGCAAGCAGCCTCAGCGCCCGAAGTGCTTTCACAGGTGCCCTCCCAAACTGCCCATTTTCGCATGCGCCCTCGAACACGCTTCACTTTCGCATGCGCTTTCCAAAACGTTTTACTTTCGATGGGGCCCTGCGGCGCGCTTCATTTTTCGCAGGCGCCTTGCAGGAAGGAGGGTGATGATGAGGAGTGTGGAAGAGGATGATGAGGATGACGCTGCTGCTGATGATGATGATGATGATGATGATGATGATGATGATGATGATGATGATTATGCTGATGATGATGATGAGGAGGAGGAGGAAGAGGAAAAGGAGGAGGAGGAGGAGGAGGAGGAGGAAGAGGAAGGAGGAGGAGGAGGAGGAGGATTAAGAGGAGGATGAGGCGTAGGAGGAGGAGGAGGAGGAGGAGGAGGAGGAGGAGGAGGAGGAGGAGGAGGAGGAGGAGCAGTGTAAACCCAAGAGTAATCAACGATGTTGGAATGAGCCCTCCTTCGAGGCTCCCTCTTTATAGCCCCCTACAACGGTTCATTTCCGTTGCGGGAATTGTCTTGTTCGAGGACAACCGTTCGAAGACCTTGAAGCATGCCAAAAAAAAGGTTTCCGGGATTCCGACGCCACGGATGAACATGATTGTTGCGTCTTGACGATCCCGAATCGTGCCAGAACGCAATTTCTGGGACTTCAGCGCAGCGAACCAACGCAACTTTTGCACCCGCATAACCCAGAATCCTTTCAAAACGCTACTTTTGGTACGTTGATGATGGGAACCCGTGACATTCTTACACATTTGGTAAGCGATTGTGCGCCTCGCTAAGGCGAGAGCCACATTTTGAGAAGGAGCCGCCCTCAATATGTGAAGCTCTTGCACATTTTTTAAACGAATGCGCGCCTCGCTAAGGCGAGAGCCGCATTTTCAAAACGACCCGCGATCAATCCGTGAAATTCTTTAGCAACCTTCAAAAAGAATGTGCGCGGCGCTAAGGCGAGAGCCACATTCTGAAAACCACCCGCCCTCAATCCGTGGAACTATTGCGAATCTTTATTTGTGCGCCGCGCTAAGGCGAGAGCCACATTTTGAAAACCACCCGCCCTCCATCCATGAAGCTGTTGCCAGTTTTTAACCTTCAGGCTCGTAAGTGGTGAGGAAGTGTTCGGGCGAAGCGCCCAGACCGCCCTAAAAATTGGCCTCGCGGTCCGATAAGGAGAGGTTATATGTATGAGGAAAAGGAATTGAGGAGGAGGAGGAGGAGAAGGAGGAGGAGGAGGAAGAGGAGGAGGAGGACTCTAAGACGATACTCTTCCTTAGGGGTGGAAGGTCCCCAGGTGGCTGGACAATTGAGGAGCAGTCACCAGAATTAGGGCTTCGAGCCCTGGCGCGCGTCGCTTGGCGCCCTCCTAGAATGAGTGTGGCAATGCAACGCATGCCAATGCATGTCACTGCATGCCAATGCATGTCAACGCACGCCAGCGCATGCCAACGCATGCCAATGCATGCCAACGCATGCCAACGCAAGCCAACGCATACCAACGCATGCCACTGCATGCCAATGCATGCCAACGCATGCCAATGCATGCCAACGCATGCCAACGCATGCCAATGCATCGGTGGGGCCCCAGCATGAGAAGTCAGGGCGTGAGGGGCCGAAGCCCCAGCATGAGGGGTCAACGCATGAAGGGCCACTGCCCCAGCATGAGGGGGTCAACGCATGGGGGGCCAGCCCAGGCCCCAGCATGAGGGGTCAGGGCGTGAAGGGCCGAAGCCCGGGCATGAGGGGTCAACGCATGAAGGGCCAATGCCCCAGCATGAGGGGGTCAACGCATGAGGGGCCAGCCAAGGCCCCGGCATGAGGGGTCAGGGCATGAGGGGCCGAAGCCCCAGCATGGTGGGTCGACGCATGAGGGGCCAACGCCCCAGCATGAGGGGGGTCAACGAATGAGGGGCCAGCTGAGTCCCTAGCATGAGGGGTCAGGGAATGAGGGGCCGAAGCCCCGGCATGAGAGGTCAACGCATGAAGGGCCACTGCCCCAGCATGAGGGGGTCACCGCATTAGGGGCCAGCCAATGCCCCAGCATGAGCGGGTCAGCGCATGAGGGGCCGAAGCCTCGGCATGAGGGGTCAACGCATGAAGGGCCAATGCTCCAGCATGAGGGGGTCAACGAACGAGGGGCCAGCCAAGGCCCCAGCATGAGGGGTCAGTGCATGAGGGGCCGAAGCCTCGGCACGAGGGGTCAGCGCATGAAGGGCCAATGCCCCAGCATAAGGGGGTCAACGCATGAGGGGGCCAGCCAAGGTGTCAGCATGAGGGGTCGACGCGTGAGGGACCAAGGCCCCAGCATGGTGGGTCGACGCATGAAGGGCAAGCCCCAGCATGAGGGGTAAGAGCATGAGGGACCCAAGGGCCGGCATGAGAGGTCAACGCATGAACACAACGCCTGGTATTGGCAAGACTACCCTCTTCAATAGTGTAAGAGTGGGGAAGGCCCACCCCCATACAGCTGTATCAGGGCGCTGCCCTGTGGAGGTAATGCACCTCATGCCAAATAATAACCTGACTCATAAGGCAGGTATGGCGGAGCAGGGGAAACAATATCCAGCCTTCTGATATGTCGAGTAAGCAACTGCTCACTCGACATGGCGATTTTCAAGCGGGGTTGGGAGGACCCCTATTTCAAACTGTATTGCCTGTGTCGCCCCGGTGGCGTAACTCCAGAGGGCTCGGGTGAAGTGCTCTTCGGAGATTGATGGTCTTCTTACATGCGCCCCGTGTGTCCTCACCCGACTACCCAACAGGAGCCCTGCGCACCATTGGCACGGGGAGGGCGAGGAGGAGGAGGAGAAGGAGGATAAGGAGGAGGATGAGGAGGAGAAGGTGGAGATGGAGGAGGAGGGGAAGGAGGAAGAGGAGGAGGAGGCCGAGGAGGAGGAGGAAGAGGAGGAGGAGGAGAGGAGGAGGAGGAGGAGGAGGAGGAGGAGGAGGAGGAGGAGGAGCAAGAGGTGGAGGAGGAGGCGGAGGAGGAAGTGGAGGATGATGAGGAGGAGGAGGAATAATAATACGAATCGTAATGATCACTCTAACGTTGATGTTTCTAGTCGTAAACATACTAATCACAATAATGATGATCGTACTACGAATACGAATAATGCGAATACGAATATGGCGACTCCGAATAGTACGAGTAACAATACTAATTATAATCGTAATGAGAATACTCAGCATACGCATAAAGCCAGTACTAATCATACGAATAGTAATCAGGAGACGAATGCGAGCAGGCATCATACTACTAATACGAGTAATAGTCATACTACTAAGAAGAAGAGGAGGAGGAAGAGGAGGTGGAGGCGGAGGAGGAAGAGGAGGAGGAAGAGGAGGAGGAGGAGGACGAGGAGGAGGTGGATGAAGGCGGCGCGCGCGGTACTTACGCACACCTCGAACGTTTCGTGGCCTCGTTGGGAGCTCCGCCGAATGCCCCTGCGGGAAAGGGCGCATACGATACTCGCGCACCCCTCGCGCGCATCGCGGCCCCGTCGGGAGTTCAGCCGAATGCCGCAGTGGGAATTTGCGCGCGCGGTACTTGCGCACCCCTTGCATGTTTCGCAGTCCCACATGGATCTTCGCCGAAGGTCCCAGCGACAGCGCTCGCGCGTGGTGCTTGCGCGCCCTTCGCACGTTTTGTGGCCCGATGGGGAGCTCCCTCTGGATCGTCTCACCTGCTTGGCGGCACTCGCGCAGCGACCGTTTCGATGGCCCCACGTGGGTCTTCGCAGTCGCGGCTCCGAGTAGAGGTGCAATCCTCCTTCGCGGGGGACCCCCCTCCGCCCTTTTCCCTCGTCCGTTCTTCGCCCCCGCCCCTCCCGCCCCCCCCCCGCCAGCGCAGCTCTGACGCGGGGGCTGCCGCATCTCACTTGCTCCCACGCTTGCTACTCCGCCGTACTTTCGGGCTATGGCGAGCGCGCCAGCCAGGCCATATTTGCAGGAGCTATTTTCTTTGTTTGCAGTCTCGTAGAGTTCAAGATGCAGATGTGCGAAAGGCGCCTTCTTGAACTGAACCTTCTTGCAGGTCCCGATCCTCCTCGTGCCGTTCCACCCTCCGCTGCCTGCCACATCTCGCGCCTGACACCGAGGTTCTTGGCACTCTTCACCGAGCAGCGGGCCGCGGGGAGGGGTGCGCAGATTCGCGTCGCGTCGACGCGGCGGCGACCTCGGCGCCTGCATCAAGGGCTCAACGCCGACAATGGTCCAGAGTCGGCCGACGTTGAACGATCTCGTGATTTCAAAGCTGCAGATCTTACAGCGTTGAGCCTTCCACGCGGTGTCAAGAGCAGCAGCGCAGCTCGTCACGACAGGAACCCACCGTATTCCCCGCTCCACGGAGTCGCTGCCGCGGCACGCTCGGGTGCTCCGAGGTCCTCCACATGCATTTTTTTCCGCCCCCCCGTCCTCTCCACGATCTCCACGAGCTGTTCAGCTTCGACGCCCTATTCTGTGGACTAAACCCATGTTTGCGAGCCCTAGGTTCAGCAAATCGTGGATTTAGCTGGTCAGCTGTAACGCTGGGGTCAGCGCGTGCGAGAAGGGCGGGCAGTGGCAGTGGGCCCTGGCGCTGCTCAGCGAGATGTGGGATGCGAAGTTGGAGCCCGACGTCATCATCCCTGCAACGTCAGGAGCGCTGCGTGCCTGAAGGGTGCTACGATCAGGTGGCCACAACTCGGCCCAGCGGGCCCCGGTCCGCTCTCGTGCGCCCCCTAGGGCGCTCCAAGACGGCCCAAGAGTGCCCTATATGAGAGCTTCAAGACGTTTCAAGAGGGGCACTAAGATCGCCCAAGAGGGTTCCAAGACGGCGCCAGGCAGCTCCAAGAGAGCAAATTGTGTTTCAATGTGGCCCAAGATGGTATCCCGACGGCCCAAGGGGCCTTCATCGCGCCCCTCGATCCTGACTCCTCGCTCCTCGATCGTCGCCCGGCAGCAGGTTGAGGCCAGCAAGCTGGAGTAGTGAGAAGCACTGCCCTGCAGCGGCAGCGAACGGAAGCAGCATGCAGCACGAAGCAGGCAGCAGCAGCAGCGGCAATTCACAGCAACAGCAACCAGCAAGCAGCAGCAGTAGCAGTAGCAGCAGCAGCAGCAGCAGCAGCAGCAGCAGCAGCAGCAGCACGAAGCAGCAGCAGCAGCAGCAGCAGCAGCAGCAGCAGCAGCAGCAGCAGCAGCAGCAGCAGGCAGCGGGCATCAGCACGCACCAAGCAGAACTGGTCATCAGCAGCAGCTTGAGAGCAACATGCATCGACTGCCTGCATCAGCGGCAATCAATACCAACATAACGCAACAGCGGCAGCAAGTAGCAGCACGCAGTAGCATGTGAGGAATGCATATGTCGAGCCCCACGTTATCAGCATGCCCACAACCACATGCCAGTTCGTGCAGCTATTCTGGACATAGTCCACGGACAGTCCACGGGTCAGCACTAGTCTATACGATCTAACGCCCTTCAAGGTAGCAGGCAGCACGAAGCAGGCAGCAGCAGCGGCAGCACACATTAACAGCAACAGCTTAGCAGCAGCAATAAGCAGAACTGGTCATTAGCAGCACCCTGCAGCCACAACCATCAACGGCTTGCAGCAACGGCAAGCCTTACCAGCAGCATGCAATATCGGCAGCCAGCAGCATCACCCAGCAGCGTGCGCGTAATGTGAAGTTCAAGCCCCACGGTCTCATTGCGGCCTCTTTGCAGCATGTCCACCATCACACGCAAGTTCTGGCTGATTTCGTGGACAAAATCCAAGGGTCAGCCCTTGTCAGTTACAGCGCTGGGATCAGCGCGTGCGAGAAGGGCGTGCAGTGGCAGCGGGCTCTGGCGCTACTCAGGGAGATGTGGGAGGCGAAGCTGGAGCCCGACGTCATCTGCCTTTTACCTCCAGGCAAAGCGCATGCGAGCTGGGAAAAACAGTTCTAGCTCCTGGGCTCCCGATACTGGTCCAGGACGCTCCGAGGACGACCCGGGTGGTTCGGAAGGCGTTTCCGAGACAGTCGAGGTGCCCCGCACGAGGGCCCTACGAGGCTCCCGAGAGGGTCCCAGGACGCCCCAGATGCACTAAGATTTGTCCACGTTGCCTCCACAGGGCCCCCAGATGGTCCGCAGAGATCCCTGGAGAGGCGGAACTCGCATCTTTCGCATTATCTTCTTGTCATCAAGATGGCTACGAAACTCAACCAGGGTCCAAGCTCCGAATAACGGTCCAAGCTCCGAATAACTATAGAGTGCCCACGAACACCAAAGGAGGCCTTGAGTGGTCTCCAAGGCGGCGCAAAGATATTTTCAAGGCTGCCACGAGCCGCACCAACACGGCCCCAAGAGCACACCCCAGGCCGCCCTCAGACACCCCCACCCGGACACCCCGAGAAACGCCAAGGTGTTCCTAAGAGGATCCAGGAGGTCCCCAGGAGAGCCCCAGAGTGCCCTCAGAAGGTTCCAAGAAGGCTTCAAGAGAGCCCCACACTCCAAGACGAGACCAAGTAAGACGGGCCCCCAGAGGGCTTCAAGGCCCCAAGGCGACACCCAAACGGCCCGCCCGCTCCCGCGGCTCAAGACTTCTTCGACCTGCTCCGTCTGCTGCTGCACCTCTTTCCTCAGCTGCTCTCGGCATCGGTCGGACGTGCGCATTGTTTCTCGGCGAGGACCATCGAGGAGCATCTTGGACCACCGTGCGAAACGTGTGGGCACGAAGCCAACACATGCACGTGGAATGGACGTTCGAGCGATGGCGAGCGCTGCTCCACCTGCCGCTCTGGCCTGCTGCGCACACACACTCGCGCTGACATCGGCAGGCACGGCTTCGCCGCGCCGGCCGTGAGCTTCTAAAGGTCCGCGCTCGTCATCTACAGCGCCGGGATCAGCGCGTGCGGGAAGGGCCAGCAGTGGCAGCGGGCACTGGCGCTGCTCAGTGAGATGTGGGAGGCGAAGGTGGAGTCCAGCGTCATCGACTTCAGTGCCGGGATCAGCGCGTGCGAGAAGGGCGCGCAGTGGCAGCTCTCTCTGGCGCTGCTCAGACGGATGGCAGAGGCGAAGCTGGAGCCCGACGTCAGCATCATCATCATCATCATCATCACCATCATCATCATCACCATCATCAGTATCATTATCATTAGCATTATCATTATCATTCTTATGATAATTTTCATTATCAATCTTATCATCATTATCATTATCATTATCGTTGTCATTATCGTTTCCTTATCATAATCATCATCATTGCCAGTCGTATTATCATTATCATCATCATTGTCAGTATCAGTCTAATTATCATTATCAGTGTCATTATCATTATCATTAGCGTTATCGATGTCAATATCATTATCATTGTCATTAGCATTATCATTACCATTCCTATTTTCATTATAACCATCATTATCATTATCACTGTCATTATCATTATCATTACCATTATCGTTATCATTATCATTATCATCATCATTAGCATGATCATTACCATTACCAATATCATTATCATGCTTACTTTCATTATCATAAGCATTAACATTATCGATCTCATTCTCATTATCATCATCAGTATCATCATCAGCATCATCATCGCCATCAGCATCAGCATCATCATCAGCATCATCATCATCATCATCATCATCAGCAGCAGCAGCAGCAGCATCATCATCATCATCATCATCATCATCATCATCATCATATCTTCGGTGCTGGGGATCGAGCATGCGAGGAGGGACCCCAGAGGGCCTTCAGGAGGCGGGCCGGATGGCCAAACATGCCCAAAAACGGCCTGATACGGCGCCAGACGCCCCATGTGGCGCCAATATGGCCCCAATAGGTTCACACACAGCTGCGCGCGGGCTACGGCTCCAGACCACGACGGCTCCAAACCGGTCCAAGATCGCCCCCAGATGACCCCACGACGCTCCCAGACGGCCCTGGGCCCCGCCGAAGGACCCCACGAGGCCCCCAGGGACCCTACCCAAGGCGACCCCGCGAGATCCCCCCACAAGGGCCCCAAGAGAGCCCACGGGTGCTCCAGACAGGCCCAAGAGGTCTCCAGAGGGCTCCAGGAGGACCCCCTTCTTCCGCGAACGAGAGCCCCATAGATATCTCCGATCATGCCTTCCGAAGGGCAGCTGCAAGACTTCTCAAGTTCTTCCTGCCCCCCCCCTGCACCGCCTACTCCTCCATATTACTCCTTCTCTCCTGTCTCCTCTCCCCTCCTCTCCCCTCCCTCCCGCCTCTCCCCTCCCCTTCCCTCCCTCTCCCTCTCCTCTCCCTCTCCTCTCCTCTCCTCTCCTCTCCTCCTCTCTCTCCTCCTCCTCTCCATCTCTCCTCTCCTCTCCTCTCCTCTCCTCTCCTCTCCTCTCCTCTCCTCTCCTCTCTCTCCTCTCCTCTCCTCTCCTCTCCTCTCCTCTCCTCTCCTCTCCTCTCTCTCTCCTCTCCTCTCCTCTCCTCTCCTCTCCTCTCCTCTCCTCCTCCTCTCCTCCTTGCACCCTCGCGCTCGCGGCGCCGTGCCCCCCTCCCCCCCCCACACACACAAACTAGGTTCTGTATCTCTCTGTGCACTTACACACACACATATATATATATATATACATTTGCACACATCGTGATCGTTTTCTTATTTATTGTTTTGCCGATCGGCGCGGGCCCTCGCGCCCCCTCCCCCCCCATGGAGTAGATCCTGGCTGTTTTTGGTGCCTGCTTCAAGCAGGTGGAGTCTCCCCCATAGGACGCGCTGTTGCAAACAGTCGCATGAAGCAGAGGTCCAGTGCCAGCCCCCCCCCTTTCCTCCCCCTCCCCCTTTTGCTCAATGCCGAAACGCCGAATAGAAAACGTTCATTCACTGTTGTGAGATATGGAGGAGGAGGAGGAGGAGGAGGAGGAGGAGGAGGAGGAGGAGGAGGAGGCCGATGTTGAAACGCCGAATGAGATACCGGGCGTTCTTATACCGGGACGCTGGCCGTGTTTGGTTGCCGCGGTTGGACGACGGCACGCAAGCCTGCAGCCAGGCAGGCGATCCTCACCCTCGCACGAGACTCACTTGTTCGAGCTGCGAGAGGACCTCGTCCTGGATCCCTCGGGCTTGCTGCCCAGGCTTTTGGTCTGTTGGCTCGCCGCGAGCAGATCGGGCCCACTGTTGCTGACGTAGGCCCACGGGCCAGATCTAGTCTCTTCCACAGTTCCAGAACCAGTGCGTGCGAATGGATGAATGCAAGCCGGGTGTCGAAGCACATGGGCAGTGATGCAACACTACGGGCAGTCGTGCCGCACAGCGGCTTTCCAGGCTTCTGCTGGAATGGCCGCGAGCTGTCGAAAATTATACGCGTTGCTCCCGCAGACTCTCTTTTAGCGTGCTTATACAGCTCGTTCGTCCGTGACTGCTTCGGCCTGCTCCGCGGGCGCCATGCTGGCCCAGCGGGCGCAGTTTTTCGAAGAAGACGGCGGGAAGACCGCACGCGGCACCGGCTGATCCTCCGGGTGCCGGGCAATCTGCGCAAAAAGACGTCATTCGGAGGTTGACAGACCTCCTACTCTGAGACGTCGATTGGCGAATTGGCCGTTCTCGGTTCGCGAGAGGGCGTCGCGGCCGTCATTCTTGCGGGTCCAGGTCCGTCGGTTTCGGTCCCAGGCCGTTTTCACGGAAGGGTGGTTTACTAAAGGCAGGTTTGTGCACCGCCGAATTATTGACGGTGCAACAGGATGCGACTCAAGGGCGTCCAGCACTGCAGCGTTCGAGATACGACTGATGTATGAATGCGGTATCCCCAACGCCTTTTTCGGACACCGTACGTGGGAGCTGTCGAGTTTGGCCAGCTCGTGTTTCCGGAGCCACGACGCGTGCAATCCGTACAGCAACTTTGTCTGCACGCAGTCTTCGAAGATCTGCAACTTCCGTTGTGTGGACAGGGTGGAATGAGACCAGACTCGGGCAAGGGTGTCGAACTCAGCCCTGGCGCAACCAAGCCGCCTGCTCAGCTCAGAAGCGATGGATCCATCGGCCGCCAAGACACTCCCCAAATAAACTATGGAGTCTTTTTCGGGGATCTCGGCCCCGTCCAGTCTCGTCACGCTCCCCTGTCACCGGATTGTCAGCAACTCGAGCTTTCCCCGATTGAACTTGAGGCCATAGTTTGCGCCAGCGGCAGCTATAGCCGTCATGTACTCCTACGCGCTCTCCGTGCTGGTGGCTACGATGAGCGTGTCGTCGGCGTATACTAGCTCCTCCTTGTCTCCCATGCGGTCGCCCAGCATGTCCCAGGCGTCGCGCAGCAGCACGGTCATCACCATGGCGAAGAGGAGAGAGGACAACCTTGACAGATTCCCGCGTGCTGCTCGCGGGTCCCGGACGTCACGCCGGCCTCGCGCACCTCAAAGTTCCTGCCCGTGTACATGGCTTGAATCACTGTCAACATTTTCTCTGGGACACCGAAACGCTGCAATGCTTTCAGCAGAGGCCCCGGCACGACGCCATCGGACGCCTTGGCCCAGTCCAGAGCGAGAAGCACGGGCTGGCCCTCTGCGCTCGACCACGTTTCCGCCAGCCTCCGCCTGGCGAGGCAGGCAGGTGGCGTCGGTGGTGCCGTGGCGCGATTTGAAGCCAAACTGGCTGCCCCAGATGCAGCGCTCGGCCCCGGCGTCCTTAAGGCGGCGGGGGAGGAGAGTCGCAAGCAACTTGTGCCCAGCCTGGAGCAGGCACACTGGCCTGTAGTTGCCGCAGGGCGTGGCGTCTCCCTTTTCGAATCAGGCAATCGCCAAAGAACTGTGCCAAGATTCTGGCACGACGCCCCGGTCCCAACATCGCCGGCACGATGCTAGCGCCCATGCTCTCGCCGGAGAGTCGCGAGCTCAGACTGCTTTGCAAAAGACGCCAGGGATGCCGTCACTGCCAGACGGCTTGCCCTTCGATCTGCCCCAAATTGACCGGCAAGTCGGGGCCAAGGGACGCTGTCAACATCGGCGCGGTTTCGCGCGCGGTCAACTGCACCTCCGCCAGGACATCTTCCAGCGTGTCCGCGCGGGCCTCGGAGTCAACCAGGTCGCCGCGCAGGTCGCGAAGTTTGCCTTGCTTCTGCCCTGCCCCTGTACGCAAGCGTCGCACCTGGTCCCAGTCGCCCGTCGCCAGGAGGTGTTCCAACCACTCCGCCCTGTCCGTTCTGACAGCGCTCTTAACGATGTAGTTCAAGCGCCTCTCTTCTGCCAGGTTCCCGCGTGCTCTGGCCTCGGTACGATTCTCGATGAGGGTCATGGTGCGGTCCGAAATCCACGGCTTGCGGCGCCGGCGGCGCTAAAGGTAGTGTGGCGGCTGCGTGTTTGAAGGAAGCTACGGCTGCAGCGTCGATGTCGTTGGCCCGTCGTCGCCCGCGTCCACGGCCTCCATCTCGTCAGCAAAGGCCACGGCGAAACGGTTGGCATGTTTTGGCAGTTGAAGAGCTCGCAAGTCAGGCCGCCGCGGATGTTCGCGGCAGACCTCGATCGGAACCATCATGTCCATGTCTGCCTGCACGAGGAAGTGGTGAGACGCCAGTGCCAGGTCTTTGTTGCTTGCCACTGATTGCAAATGCTCAACCCAATTCTGCGAAACCACATCGAGATCAATCTGGCCAAAATTATCTGGCGTGTCAGGGTCGGACGGCTTCTTGCCCACGCTGTAGCAGGCGACCTGGTGATGTGCCGGTTCATCGAACATTGTGTTGCCGATTCATAGTTCGTTATGCTCGCACAGCCCAACCAGCAAGCTACGGTTGGAAGCCGCGTTGTGCTCAGCCCCTGGATGCCCAAACAGATGCGGTCCCATTGTATGCTCTTGTTGCGGATGGCGCCTGTGCAGGCGTGCGTTAAAATCTCCGAGCAAAATTATCGGGCCGTGCCGCGACGTTTGTGCGCGAAAAGCTCCAAGGGAGGTGAAGAATCGCTGCTGTCCTCGAAACGCTTCCCGTTATGAGGCGCGTACGCGCTGCCAACGATAGTTTTCCCGCTTTGCACGTGCAGCTTCACGTATGCCGTTCTTGCTGTCTCTTGCCTGAAGCCGATGACACTCGAGCGCAACCGCGAGGAGATGATGAAGCCAACGCCCGCCGTCTCCTTTTCTTCCTCGTCCGCGGACCTGGAGAAAGTGAACAAGTAGCCGCCGTCCGATACGTAGTAATTTGGTATGTCCCTGCGAGTCTCTTGCATGCACAGAATGCCGATGCTCTGTTGGCGCATGTGCCGTTCAGGCTCAATCTCTTTCGCGTCCGTGAAACCCTCAACGTTCCAGGTGGCAGCGCGGAGCTGCCGCGAGCAAGGCCTGAGGCCGCCACCGCGGAAGACGCGCGCCTGTCTGGCCCGGTGGGGCAGCGGCTGTTCCACAGTGGTGCCGACTGCGGGTGAAACTACGTCGTTCGTGCACTCATGAATTCTCAAACGATGGTGCCCCACAGATACAATCTTGCCGACTGCTGCCGGCGAAACTCTGCCCATGTGATATGTGCGTCCTAAATGGGGCGCCCGCTGCCCGCTGCCCCTGCCTCTGGTTCCGCCGTCCGTGCCCCTGCCGCCACGAGCGAGCAGATCCACAGATTTGTTCGCGAGGCCCTTGATGAGGGCGTGGCCGTGAAACTCTTCCCACGTAGCCCACTCGCCGTGCCAACGGCAGTCAAAGTCGTGGTCCTTCACGGTCGCTGTCAGCGCGTGCTCGCCACCAAAGACCACCTCGTAGGGGTCCTCGTCCGACACGTTCACGACATACGGTACTTTGACCTCCTGCTTCAGGATCCGCTTGAAGCCGAGGCAAAAGTTGCGGGCCGCCGGGTTCGCTGGTGAGCGGTCTTCGCTAGCCCACACCTTCTTCTCGCCGTTGGTGGGGGCTCTGGCACGGTAGACCTCGACAGCGCGGTCACGCGCGTCTGTTCGAGGGCATTATCAATGTTCTCGAACGCGCCCTTCGAGTAAATTTTGGACGGGGCTGGCGAACACGAGGCCTTGAGGCGCTCCGTCAGCCACTGGAGCGACGTAGCAAGGTCCCACAGGCCGTCCAAGTTGCCAACGACCATGCTCAAGGACCTCTTGGACATCAGCGTGTGGATCGAAGAGGGTGGGGCTCGCCGAAAGGGGTCGCCGAAAGGGCTTCCTTGATGTACTCCTGGATCTTCATCTCGAACGCGTCCCCTCCCAGAATCTTCTGCGCCATCGTCTCGTACACGGTCTCTGGCTTCTCGACGCATCTCCGTGGAAATGATGCCCGCCTCCACGTCCCCCAGACGGCTGCCGAGGGTCACCGCAAGGTTCCCGACCTTGCCGTCTAAGGCACCGAGCTTCTTTTTGAGGCCCTCCACAACGCTGGTGACCAGGGCGAGCTGCTGCTGGAGGAGTGCTGCAGTGCCAGCCATCGTCACCGGCTCGGCCTTGTCCGCCACAGCTTATCCGAAATCTGGTTGGCGAATAGCGTCCGTGTCGTTTAACCAATCCCCATCCCCATCCCCATCCCCTTCGAGATCCCCACCAAATTGCCACCCCAGTTGGGGATACGCCCCTCGAAACCCGAAGGGGACGGCCTACATCCCCATCTAGGGGGGTAAATCGGCTAGTGGGGCCCAGGCCACGCCGCTGGGGATGGGGATTGGTTAAACCACACTCATAGCGTCACCTGGGTCCCCTGCCATCGGCACGTACCCCCTCGAGGCGGGCCACGCGCGTCGTCCGGGAGGGGGGTGTACGCGGGGCGTCGCGGCCGTGGCCGGAGCGCTGCTGCCTGGCCGCCATGCGCGCCCACGGGTCGTTCTCCTGTAATTAGGCCGTCCTTTGGACGGCACTGCACGCGGGGCCGAGGCTTCCTGGGAGCCTCCTATGGTTCCCTGGAAGCCTGGCACGCGGGGCCGAGGCTTCGGGGCAGCAAAGCTCTGATCATCCGCCACTGCAGCTGCCATCGCAGGGGAGATCGGAAGTTGAGAGGAAGTTGACCTTGATACCCAGACTTTGGTTTAATGCTGGGGAGAGGCGCACAGTGGCAGCCTGGCAAGCGGGCCAGCGGGGCCTGACCACCCCACGGGCCCCGAGCGCCCCAAGCAGGCCCCAGAGACGGCTTCAGAGATCCCCAGACGGTCCAAGAGGGCCGGCGAGACGGCACCTAGAGGGATTCAGAGAGCTCAATCAGCATCCAGAGCAGCCCCAGAATGCTTTGACACGGCCCCGAGACGACCGCCAGTGCTGGACAGCCCCAAGTGGCCCAAGAATTCCGCGGCGCTTCAGGGCAGCCCCAGGTGGCCCAAAAGTGCCCCCAGTACGGCCCAGAAGTGGCCTAAGACGGCCTCCTTATTTTTCAGCCCCAAGACGTTCTCACGCATCGGAAACCTTATTGAATCGCTTCGCTCATTCCGCCGGCCCGTATTGTGCCATTGTTGGCGTTTGCGTGGGCCATGCGGCGCTGCTGGTCGGCGCTGCTGCGGTTGTGGGTGAGAGTCCTCCTGGATGTTTCTTGGTGTCTCTTCGGAGGGTTCCCGAGGGGCTCCTGTGTAGCAGTTTTGAGGCTCTTGGGGGCCTCCTGGGGGCGCCTTGGATGCCTCTCGGGGCTCTCTTGGCACCTCTATGGGGCCGCTCGGACACTCTTAGGGGGCTCTTGGGGGCCGCTTGGGAGCCTCGTGGGGCCTATTCGGAGCTCCTCGGAGGCCTGGGGGGGAGGCTCTGGGGGCAATTTGGAGGCCAAGGCCTATTGAGAGCTCTTTGTAGGCCTGGGGGGGGGGGGGGGGGGGCCGCTGGGGGCGATTTTGAGGCCGGACGTTCGAAATGTCCGTTGGGGCTTCCCCTCGATGGTGTCTTCTTGAAGTGGGGCTCTCCAGCGCCGTTTTGGGAGAAACTTGGGCCGTCTTAGAGTCCCCGTGGGCCGTTTTGGGGCTCTCTTGGAGGCTTAATGGGCCGTCTTGGGGCGATCTTAGGGGCCTCTTGGGCCGTCTTGGAGCGTCGGCGGCCGACAAGATGAGAAAGCTGAAAACCTTCAATAACCAATGGACAATGTGGAATTTTGCCTCTAGGGGGCTTCTTGGGAGTGGTCTTGGAGGCATCTTCGGGCGTGTTGGAGGCGGTCGAAGCCGTCTGGAGGCTAGCTTGGGCATCTTGGGACGACTTCTGGTGACTCTGGGTCGCTTAGACCGCTTTGGGGACCTCTTGAGACGCGCTTGAAGGCCGCCCCAGGACTGGCCCAAGATGACGTGGACGAAGTCCACGGGTTCGCCCTGGTCAGCTACAACGCTGGGGCCAGCGCGTGCGAGAGGTGCGGGCAGTGGCTGGGGGCGCTGGCACTGCTCGGCGAGATGAGGGAGGTGCGGTTGGAGCCCCAGGACGTCAGCTACAGCATCTGGATCGGCGCGTGCGAGCCAGGATCGGCGGCGAGCGAAGGGGGGAAGGCAAGGTGGAGAAGGCTTTCTCAGAAGGCGGCGGGGCCTCCCAGGAGGCCTCCGGCCTTCCGGGAGGCTCTCCGTGTCTTCGGGGGGAAGGCTCGGAGAACACTTCTCAGACGGCCAGGGGATTTCCGAGTCTGTGAGAAGACCCACCGTGGGATCACATGCGAACCCTACCCCTACCCCCCACGATTTCTGAGGGCGAAGTGAACCCTCAGAAATCGTGGGGGGTAGGGGTAGGGTTCGCAGGTGGCCCCCTATTATCACTTCCCCACTGGGCTCGCCGCCGAAGGAGGACAGTGGCAGCAGGCTCTCTTGGTCCTCAGGGAGGCGCGCCGGAGGAGCTCGGAGCCGGACTTCCATGCCTACGGCATCGTGGCCAGCATGTGCGAGCAGGGCGGGCAGTGGAGCCAGGCGTTGTCGTTGCTGGGGGAGGTGAGCGAGATTGTCGCGGAGTGATTCCTTCGGCTGCAGTGCTGAGAATGGCGCGGGGGAGAAGTGGGAGCCATGGTGGCGCCTTGTCGCTGCTAAGCGATACGTGGGATGCAGAGCTGGATCCCAGTGCCATTTAGCATCGCGATCGTTCCTACACACGCTCCGGCAAATCTGAGTGGTCCCGCACGCGACGCCCAGCCATCATGTCGCACAGCCCTGCGCATTGGAGAACGCACGAAAGGCACCAGGAGGCAAGACGGTACGTTCTTCTTTCCCATCCCTGCTTCGAGCTCATATGCTTTTTTTGGTGCGCGGCCTCGCCAGAGCGGGCCACCGCGTGCAAGGAAGGTGAGCGGTGGCAGCGGGCTCCGCGCCTGCCGAGCGAGGTGCGGGAGGCCAAGCTGGAGCCCGAAGCCACCATGCCTGCACATAGCTGGGCCGTCCAGAGGGTGCTTACCAGCCTCGAACGTATTCCTATCCCTAAGATTGACAAGCCCAAAGGCGATGACAATCTTAAGGATCCGCCCTCAAAAAATAAGGGAATCCCTAAGATTGGCATCGTGATGAGGAGGTGCCCAGCATAGGGATAGCGATCCCAAGGCTCTCTGGGGCTTCGCCCGAGAGTTCCCAAGGGTTGCCGCGCGGGCACGCGAGCCTCGGAGAGAGGCACTTGAGAGGTACCAGGAGAGGCCCTAGATGCCCCACATCGCGCAGCACATTCTGTTTGGTGAGGTTCCTGGCTTCTGGGCTTCTCGCGCGAAGACGGTGCTGGCAGTTCCTCGGCCTCGGTGTGGCCCGACGCGCCTGCAAGGCGAAGGCCAGACGGCCCCAAGAGGGCCTCAGAACGGCCTCAGCGCCAACGAGGCTCCCAACACGACCCCAAGAGAGCTCCAGGCCGCTCCGAGAGGGCCCAGGACAGCCTCGAAGAGCTTCCAGACAGCCCCAGAGAGCCCGCAGAGGGCGCCACGGCGGCCCGATAAGCTCCTAGAGTGCCGGGAGACTGCCCAAGCGGGCCCCATGATGCCCCCAGTGCGGCCAAAGGAGCCCCAGTGCGGCCTCCAGATCTGGAAGCAGCACATCCCGCAGCAGCTGCCACGAGCGGCTCGCGGCAAACATCAGCAGCAGCTGGCGGCTGCACCGGCACCGCGGCAGCATCCGGTAAGCAGCACTGGCAAGCAGCAGTGGCCGGAAGCAGCAAGAAGCGGCGGCGGCCAGCAGCAGCGGCAGGCGGCAGCAGCAGCACGCTCTCACGTCCCCAGCAGCAAACACCAGCAAGCAGTAATTACCAGACAAACAGCAGCGCGCAGCACCAACCAGTAGTAATGGACCGCGGCACGCCGTAGCTGGCGGCAGCAAGCACCAGCAGACAACATGCACTAACAGCAAACAGCATCAAATATTCGTAATCAGGATATAACAGCAGTAAGCGACAGCGAGAGGATGAGCAAGCAAATGAAGACAACAAGGAAAGAGCCAGGCAACCAGGCCACCATACTGCACCGGCAGGTAAGTGGGCACCGCAAGCTGTCGGTCCAGTAAGCCAGCAATCACGCGAGCAGGACGTCGGACGGCACGCAAACAGGTAAGCAGGCAATAGTACCCAGTAAAAATCAGCAGCTTGCAGCATAATGAAGCATCTGCATGCAACAGCAGGCGCTGACAGCCAGCACCAGCATTACGCAGCAGCATTAAGTCGCAGCCTGCGGTAGCGCGCGACAGTACGCAGGTTATCCAACACGCCGCAATTAGCAGCAGCTAGCAGCAGCCAGCAGCAGCAAACGGCAGCAAGGGACAGTAAGCTGCTTCCAGCGGACGACCACGGGATGAAGTCACCAAGCAGGCACGAAAGATATCAGGCAAGTTGCCCAGCATGGAAGCAGGAAAGTCAGGGAGGATGATGTGTCAATCATGTGTGCTCCAGTTTCCGTTGGGTGGCTGATGTTGGGAGCAGTTCTGCACGCCACTCTGAGTGCTTGTGGCAATTCATCTTCTGAGGGGTGCTCTCTTCCATCCTCTGCGGCTTCACGTTGGACCCTGGAGCCCACCATAGGCCGCGCTTGTTGCACCAGGCCTCAATCAGCCTAATTCGCTCGTTTTCCCGAGGACAGACACCCTCTGTTCATTCTCATTGAGTCCACGGGTCAGCCCTAGTAAGCTACAATGTTGAGGCTCTCGCGTACGAGAAAGCCGTTTCTCAGGGAGATGTGGGAGGTGAAGCTGGGGCCAGTAGGCACCAGCAACATGCGAGCAGTGACAGCGGGCTCTGAAGCTTCCCGGCTGAATGCGTTTGGCCCAGTGTCATCAGTTCAGGCATCTGCGTGCACGAAGTACGATCAGTTGCCGCTTGCCCCGCTGCTGCTCAGCCAGATCTGGGAGGTGACATCCGACCTTGACGCAAGCAGCTACAGGCCTTGGGATCAGCACGGGCAAGAGACGGTGAGCAGTGGCACGCGTCATCGGCTGCAGCGTCGAGACCAGCACGTGCTATGACGGCGACCAGCCGCTGCGGATCAGGGAGGTGTGCGAGGAGAGGCTGGATTCCGACATCATCGGCCTCATGGCTGGGACCAACGCGTGCGAGAGTGGCGAGCAGTGGCGTCGGGCTCTGGCGCTGCTCAGCGAGACGTGGGCGGCGAAGTAGGCGCTTGATGCCATAATGGGGTCTCTGCGTGAGAAAAGGGCTTGGGGCTCGCTTGGCTTAGGGAGGCTCCCTGCTGCTCCCACTGCTGTCTTGAGGACTTTGGAGGTCCCTGGGCGCACCCAAGAAATCCCGAAACAGCCCAGTGGAAGCAGAACGAGGAATGGAGTAGGACAAGACGATAAGCGGTGAGTGATGAGTTCTGAATGGTGTGTGATGATGCTGCTGCTGATGATGGTGACGATGATGATGCTGATGCTGATGCTGATGCTGCTGCTGCTGATGATGATGATGATGATGCTGCTGATGCTGATGATGATGACGATGATGATGAAGATGATGTTGATGATGATGATGATGATGGTGATGATGCTGCTAATGATGATAATGAATATGATGATGCTGATGGTGATGATGATGCTGCTGCTGATGATGATTATTATGATGCTGCTGATGCTGATGCTGATGCTGATGCTGATGCTGATGCTGAGGATGAGGATGAGGATGAGATGATGATGATGATGATGATGATGATGATGATGATGATGATGATGATGATGATGATGATGATGATGATGATGATGATGTGATGATGATGATGAGGATGAGAGGAGGAGGAGGAGGAGGAGGAGGAGGAGGAGGAGGAGGAGGAGGAGGAGGAGGAGGAGGAGGAGGAGGAGAGAGGAGGAGGAGGAGGAGGAGGAGGAGGAGGAGGAGGAGGAGGAGGAGGAGGAGGAGGAGGAGGAGGAGGAGGAGGAGGAGGAGGAGGAGGAGGAGGAGGAGGAGGAGGGAGGAGGAGGAGGAGGGAGGAGGAGGAGGAGGAGGAGGAGGAGGAGGAGGAGGAGGAGGAGGAGGAGGAGGAGGAGGAGGAGGAGGAGGAAGAAGAAGAAGAAGAAGAAGAAGAAACAGAAGAAACAGAAGAAGAAGAAGAATAATAAGAATAAGAATAAGAATAATAATAATAAGAATAATAATAATAATAAGAATAATAATAATAAGAATAATAATAATAATAATAATACGAATACTAAGAAGAAGAAGCATAATAATAAGAAGAAGAATAAGAAGACTAAGAAGAAGAATAAGAAGAAGAATAATAAGAAGCATAAGAATAAGAAGAATAAGAATAATAATAAGAAGAATAATAAGAATAAGAATAATAAGAAACATAATAATAATAATAAGAAGAATAATACTAAGAAGAAGAAGAAGCATAAGCATAATAAGAAGAATAATAAGAATAATAAGAATAAGAATAAGAAGAAGAATAATAAGAATAATAATAAGAAGAATAATAATAAGAAGAATAAGAATAATAATAAGAAGAATAAGAATAATAATAATAATAAGAAGAATAATAAGAATAATAAGAAGAATAATAAGAATAAGAAGAAGAAGAAGAAGAAGAGGAGGAGGAGGAGGAGGAGGAGGAGGAGGATGATGACGATCGGTTTTTGAACAGGAATCGCAGAGCGCAGGAGGGCCGTGCGGTGCATCCTGCAACCGCCACGGCTCACGCCTTTTTCGTGAGGAGGCCGCGTGCTCGCCGGCCTCGCGCGGGACCTGCGCGCGCCAGGCGGGCCGGGGCGCGGCGTTCCTGGCTTCCCGCGTGGGCACCGCGTGGCTCGGCCAGTGGCGGGCCGCCCGCGGCCCCGCTGGCCCGCCGGCGGTCCCGCGGGCCGCCCTGGCGCCGCGCGCCGCAGGGCCTGCGCCGGCTCCGCCGCCGCGGAGCTGCCTGGCCGCCGACCTCCGCGTGGCCAGCGAGCTTCAGGAGGGGAAGATACACACAGACACAATTCATGGTCGATCTGCAAGAAAATATGGGAAACTATGGGAAGTGGGGGGGAAGACGAAAACCCAGAAAATATGGGAAAACATGGGGGATCCTGTTGTTTGTGTGTGTGTATTTATTTGTGTGTCCCAGGGCCCCTTCAGAGTTGCGCGTGGAGCCAGAGCGGTGCCTGCCGTGGGCGGCGCCAGTAGCGCTGCTGGAGTGCCCCGACCCTTGCCTGGCGTGCCCCGAGTCGGCCAAAAGCGAGTTCTCGTGGGGCTTCGAGGTCTCCTTCGGCCTCGTGTCGCTCCTGCTCTGGGAGCCCGCGACCCTGGGCTGGACCGCGGTGCGCGGCCGAGCGGGCCGGTGCTGCGGCCGGAGGCGCGGGAGGGTCCCCTTGGAGGAGCTGGAGGCGGAGCCGGCGGTCGTCGGGTTGCGTTTGCGACTTCGCGGTCCCGCTCACGCCTGCCTCGCTGCAGGCTTTCTCGCAGCGGGCTCTCGTGCTGCTCGCTGGTCATGATGCCTCTCTCGTTGTTGCTGCTGCGCGCCCGGCTCCAGGCGAGGCAGGTGCGGTCGTGCCAGCCGGCGTCGGCGCCGCGGCCGTGGGGGCGCCTGCCGCACCCGTTGCTGCGCCCGCTGCCGCCTCAGGCGCCGCGCTCGGAGGAGGCGGGCTCGCGGTCGCAGGAAGGCTCGCCGGAGGCCTGGCTGCGCTGCTGGGCGGAGGAGGCGGGGGTGGCGCTGCTGGAGCCGCCGCAGGAGTGGGCGGCGGAGCTGGCGCCCCAGCGGCACTGGGACCCCCAGTGGCCGTGGCCCCGCCCGCCGCTGCAGCGCCAGCGGGAGGGCCACCCGGTGGCGGACGCTTGTCCTGGCCCCCCCAGCCGCCACGGCCGCTGCGGCGGCGCGGCGCCTGGCGCCCCGGCTGCGCCGGGGGCCGCGGTCGTCGCGGACGGGGCCGCTGGGCTGGCAGCCGCCCTGGCCGGCGCAGGAGGCGCGCCTGCCGACGGCGGCGGCGAGGGCGGTGCAGGGGTTTGTCGGACGCTCGCTTTGCTGTGCGACATCAATGGGAAGCGGCACCGCGCCTTCTCCGCTGGAGTGGCCTTGCTCAGGGCCGCAGACTGGGGCGACTGGCTGGTCCCTGGGCCCAGGACGGTGCTCAGGGTGGCCACTTTCATGGTCGAGAACGGCGGGGGCGCTCTTGGGCACCACGTGCAGTGGAGGTCGGTCATCCGCTTGGGCTCGGTTGACATTATGGTCTCGACGCATCTCGAATATATTCGAGACCGAGCTCTGCTATGTCCAGCTGGACATCTCGAATCTGGGGAGTCTGGAGCTGGTGGCGCCGCAGCGTCAGCTCTGCGAGGAACGCCACCGCGATCGGGTCTTGGGGGCGCGCAAGGACGACAACCAGCACCACGACGAGGAGTACTACTTCACGGGCATGGCCACTACGAGGGAGCTCATGGTGGCGCCGGCGCTCTCCACCTAGGTCAGCGAGCAGATCGCGCGGGGGAATGCGGTGGCTAAGGAAAGGCGCGAAGCACGTGAGGAGAGACAGCTTGCCAAGCCCAGGGGTCCAAGGGGCCGAAGGGTGGCGACGGTGGGTGCCGCTCTCGAGTGCCTCTTCGACTCACGCGCAAATCGAACTGTTTCCAAACCTTCATTACCGACGCGAGGACATCGTCTTCGTTATCGGCGGGCGTGATCAACATCGGCGCCGTCATTGGCCTTGCCGTCAACATCGCCACCATCGTCACCATCATCGCTACTTTCGTCATCGTGTCTACCTTTGCCAGCGTCGCCATGATACCGCGCCCGCCCACGCCACCGACTCGCATTGACGTGCCCTCTGGAAGTGCCCAGCGGTCAGCGCCACCACGGTCGCGTCGGTCGCGCCGCACTAGCTGGTCGCTGTGCGCGCGAGCATGTGCGGGTTAGCGCGGCCGCAGAGATGCACCAGCCAACGCCGAACGCTCATCGCAATCGCCGTCGCATGGGTTTTGTAGACCAGATTGCGGCTGGGTGTGTGGGATGTTTGCGCGAGCAGTGGAATTGACAACTTCAAATTTGGCAGGGTGAATTGCACCACGTAGATTGCGCACCATAGCTTGCGCACCATATTTCGCACCTCGTGCATTGCACAACACAGTTTGCACAGCATAGTGCGTAGCACATAAATTGCACACCGTAGCTTGCAGAACATAGCTTGCACCGCGCAAGTCGCATCACAAAGATTGCGCGACATGGATAGTACAACCTAACTTGTACAGCACATATTGCACAACGTATATCGCACCAAATAGATTGGCCCTCAAACGTTGCGCCGCACATAGCACGACAAAGGTTGCATCACATTCGTTGCACCACATAAGTTGCACAGCGCAGTTTGCTAAAGTCATGGTGTATGGGGCTCGCGCTGGCTAACACATACATGTGTGTATATGTACGTAGATGTGCACACATTATCTATATATATATGTATCGGATGTTGGGGGGTGAGATCGAAGTGGAACGGAGAGCCCCCCTACCGGGAAATCGATTTGGGTTTCGTGTTCGTGCGTGCCGTGCGGGCGAGGCGAAGCTGCGTGGGCGGGCGAGAGAAAGTCGCCTGTGGCTGAGGCGCGGCCGGACCAAATGACTCCCTTCCGGGCGGCCGGGGGCCCGCGGTGTCCCGTCGGTGTCCCGCTGGTGTCCCGTGTGGCTGAGGCGCGGCCGGACCAAATGACTCCCTTCTGGGCGGCCGGGTGCCCGCGGTGTCCCGCCGGTGTCCCGCTGGTGTCCCGTGTGGCTGAGGCGCGGCCGGACGAAATGATTCCCTTCCGGGCGGCCGGGGCGGCGCGGTGTCTCGCCGGTGTTCCACCGGTGTCCCGTCCGTGTCCCGTCGGTGTCCCGATGATGATGTTGATGATGATTATGATGATGATGATGGATGATGATGATGATGATGATGATGGTGATAATGATGATGATGTTGATGATGGCGATGATGATGATGATGATGATGATGATGATGATGATGATGATGATGATGTTGATGTTGATGATGATGATGATGATGATGATGACGTCGATTGCGAGATCGAT